GGCGCTGCTGGGCAGGGACGTGGGACACACGGGACGCACTGGGGGCTCTTCCAGCCCGACCCATCCCGGCGTTCTGGGATCCCCTCACGGAGCCGGGACACGCGGACTACAACTCCCGCCGTGCCCCGGGGCCGCCGCCATACTTCTCGCCCGGCCCCCTCAAGGGTCGCCGCCATATTCCCGCGCTCCCGCCCCCTCAGGGGTCACCGCCATCTTTCCCCGCCGCCGCCGCCGAGATGCCGGAGGATCACGACTTGGAGGCGTACAAGGTGCCGCCGACCCGCACCCCCGTCTCCGAGAGGACCACGTCGGTGCCCAACCCCGTCAACTACTTCCAGGCCGCCTTGAGCTATGTCATCGACGCGCCCGTCACCTTCGTCCGAGGTACCGGCGGGACGAGACCCCCCCCCCAACCCCGTCCCCCTCCCCGTGGGAGCTGAGCAGCGGCGCGGGGACGGGGACACCGGGATGGGAACACCGGGGCACGGGGAAAAGGCGTGAGGACACGGGCACCTGGACAGGCAAAGGGTACACGCAAGGACACGGGGACACTGGTCCTGACACTAACGGCACGGGCAGAGGGACAGGACGCTGGGACACAGGGACAGGGGACATTGACAAGAACACAGCATGGACATAGGGACATGGTACAGACAAGAGCACAGCTTGGATAGTAGGACAGACACAGGAACGTGGGACACAGCTCGGACCACAGCGACATGGGACACAGCACAGAGGGACAGACACACAGCTGGGCATGAGCTGGACGCAGGAATGGACCCACTGCTGCTGCCTGGGAAGGTGGCACCAGGCAGTGCCAGCACTGGGGCTGTCCCTCAGAGCTGGGACCAGGGTGTGTGACCGGGCTGTCCCTGCAGAGTTGATCGAGCGGTGGCAAAGCAAGAAGAAGTTCTATTACTATCACCAGAAGTTCCCCCGTGTGCCTGACCTGAGCGAGTGCCTGGAGGCTGACTACCTGTGCTACTATGAGGCCGAGGCTCAGTGGAGAAGGGACAGGTATGGCTGCCCCTGGACTGTCCCCAGGCGAGGTCACAGCAGAGCACACAGCTCTGGGACCTGCAGCATTTTGGTGAATTCTGAGGCAGCACCTCCAGCCCACCCCATTACACATCAGTGTCCTGCTGTCCCTGCAGCACTCTGGGCATGGTGGCATTAGGGACCGGGACCCTGAAAATCCCAGAGCTGACATTCCACAGGAGTGTCCTCATCCCTTGGTTCAGCTTTTGTCATCTCATGGCTGCTGCATCTTCCCTGCAGGATGGTTGATCAGGAAATCGTGGAGATAGTCCGGGAAAGGATGGCTGCATGCAAGCAGAGGGAAGGACCCAACCAGTTCCAGAACTGTGCCAAGGAGATGGAGCTGCTGGCACAGGTCACCAAGGCCTACCAGGACAGATGTGAGTGTGGCAGCAGCATGCAGGGAAAGGGTTCTAAACCCAGGGAAAGGAGGTCACAGAACACAGGCTTTGTAGGAGGCACTGCTCAAACATTTCCTTTCTTTTTCAGACGGTGAGCTGGGTTACCATGGGAATGCACGGACGTGCCTGATGAAGCAGAAGCACAGGATGATGGAGGAGAGGAAAGCAGCACAAGAAAACCAGTAGAGCTGAAACAATTCCTCCCTCCATGGTGCTGGTATCCAAGTGCATGTTGCTTCCCTGACCTCTGGTGCCGCTGGCCTCCACAATAAACAGACATCTGTACAGTTGGGATCTGTATTTATTCTTTGAAGAGCTCTGTGAGCCCTCAGCTCCAGGCACTTGGGGCTGCCAGTATTGGGGTTTGCCCTTCCTCTCCTTCATGTGCCACCAGAACAGTCTGTGAGCTGCTCTGCCCTGGTTCTGAATGCACTCAGGCTGAGTAAGGATGATGTGCCCCCAAAGTGCCCAAGGCCAGGCTGGACAGAGCTCGGAGCAGCACTGTCTAGTGGGAAGTGTCCTGTGGCAGGAGATGGAATTGATGAGCTTCCAGGTCCTTTCCAACCCAACCCATTCCATGGTTTAACCCACGTGCCCCGAGCACCAACCCCCAATCACACCAAGCACCAATTCCTGGTTCTCTGATCGCTTTATTCTCGTACAAAAGCCGCTTAGGTGGCGGCCACAGCGGCTGCCTGGGTCCTCTGCACCGACACTCTCGTGTGGGTCTTGGCCAGATGATCGGTGAACTCCTGCAAAAAACACCAACAGTGGGTTATTCCCTCAAACCCCTCTCACCTCAGCACCACTTCCCATCCCTGCTGTGCACTGGGGCAGCTCAACTTTAGAGCTGCCAAATCTCTGGGTACAGAAATCTAAATTTTAGGGGAAGGGTAAGACTGGAACTGTAAGTTACTAAAATGCTTTTACCTGGTAAGGAGACTTGGTGAAGACAGTCTCTTTCCAGAGGTCAGGAGTCAGGTAGCTGTAGGTTTTGGAGATGGCATCGAAGGTGGCTTTAGCTGCAGAGAGATGTCACACACTGCCCATCAACCGCTGCAGAACCAGCCCGCTGATCCGAGCCACAGCTCCAAAATATCCCCCAGCTACGAAAATGTGGAATTTTGAAAGGACCAGGGAGACCATGGGAGGGCCTCTCTGATGAACCCACAAAACTCAGGTTTCTCTCTCTCTCCAGTTACGACAATTACACTACGGGACACAAGTGCAATCGCGCAGATTGGGAGATTCAGGAGCGGTGACAGGCGTAACAACACCCCACGACAGGCGTAACAACACCCTACGTTTCTGTAACGAGCTCTGACAGAACCAGCAGCAGGACTGACCTGCACCTGCAGCAGAAGTCGTGGCTTCTGCTTCACTGCTGCAGGCACGAAGCACCAGAAAATGGAGGTGCTGTGGCCCCATCAGTGATAAAAGTGGCCCCAGAGCTCACCGAAGTTGCCGAGGGTGGCCGTGCAGCCCCGCGCTGACGTGTAGCAGTCATCGATGCCAGCCATCATCAGCAGCTTCTTGGGGACAGGGGCGGACACGATCCCGGTGCCGCGGGGAGCCGGGATCAGGCGCACCAGCACGGAGCCACAGCGCCCGGTGACCTGCGGGGACACATCGGGTCAGCCCCAGAACACAGCCCCGAGCAGCCCCAGGGCCAGGCTGGCACGGGACACTCACCTTGCAGGGCACCGTGTGCGGCTTCCCGATCTTGTTGCCCCAGTAGCCGCGCCGCACGGGCACGATGGACAGCTTGGCCAGGATGATGGCCCCACGGATGGCTGTGGCCACCTCCTTGGAGCACTTCACCCCCAGCCCCACGTGGCCGTTGTAGTCCCCGATGGCCACAAACGCCTGCAGGCAGAAGAGTTTTCACTGCTCCCTCCAGGAGCTCAGCCCCAAACCCTACACACAGTTCTCAACACCCATTTTTCCCTCAGAGTTCATCCTTCAGTCAGAATTGGCCAAGGTTTTTAATGCACTGGGATTCAATTCCCTGCTGCAGCCTCACACTGCTCAGAACTCCCTGTAATTTCCCAACAGCACTCCCTCTTTATACCCAAAACTTCTCCCTGAAAACCCAATGCTGCTGTGCAAAAACAACTGAATTTTGCAGTGTCAGAAGAGTTTGCTCAAAAAGAAGTTTATAAGTTTTGCAGTCCAACTTTTGGGCCAGTGCTACTTCAAGGAACATCTGCACACACCACTGACATTTTAGTTACTACATTTAACAAACTACTAATGATCCTCACAGCAATTTATTTACTAGATGTGACAGTAAAAGGGATTTGGAATGATTAAAATTACACTAAAAATGTAAGTGGGAAGATGTGAACAGGAGGATCCAGAAAAACGGGATTACCTTGAACCTGGTGCGCTGCCCAGCACGGGTTTGTTTCTGCACAGGCATAATCTTCAGCACCTCATCCTTCAGTGAGGAGCCCAGGAAGAAATCAATGATCTCCGACTCCTGCAAGAGTCAGGCAGTGAGCACACAGGAATCATGGAATCCTGGAATGGCTGGGGTTAACAGGGACCTCAAAGCCCAGCTAATCCAACATCCTCCCAAGAGCAGGGACATCTTCCACTATCCCAGAGTGCTCCGAGCCCCATCCAGCCTGGCCTTGGACGTTTCCAGGGATCCAGAGCAGCCACAGCTTCTCTAGGAATCTGTGCCAGGGCCTCACCACCTTTACAGGGAACAATTCCTTCCCAATATCCCATCTGACCCTATCCCAGGTCCCACTCCAGCTGTCCTGGAGCCCCTTTAAGCTCTGGAAGAAGTTGAGATCTCCCCGAGCCTTCCCTTCCCCAGGTAAGCACCCCCAGCTCTCCGTGCGTAGCTCCGCCCCTTGGAGCATCTCCCTGTCCCATCATTTCCATGTCCACAGCAACTCACCTTGATGGGAAGCGAGAAGAGATAAATCTCCTCAAGAGACTTGATCTTCATATCCTTGACCAGGCGACCGAGTTTGGTGACAGGAATCCACTGGCAGAGAAATCCACGGCCAAGAGTCACCAGGTGCCAGCACCCGCCGGGACCCGGTTCCGCTGCCGCATCCTCGGGGCTGGCAGCACCCCCGTCCCCGGGTCCCCACTCACCTCCTTATCCTCGGCTTTACCTCCGCGGGCCCCGCGGCCTCTCCCGCGGCCCCTCCCGCGGCCGCGCCCGCGGCCCCGCAGCCCGGTCCCGAATCCACCGCGGAAGCCCCCGCGGGCCGCTCCCGCTCCTCCCGCAGCACCGGCGTCGTCCGCCATTTGCTGGAACAAAGCGGGACATGAGGCGGGCCGCGCCGGGCGCGGATGGGGCCGGATGGGGCCGGCCGGGCCGGGCCGCCACCATGGCTCCTGCTCTACTTACGTGTTCCCTCAGCGTAGAAGGCCGCGCGACCGCGCCGTCCAGTATTTATAGTGCGCGGTATCTCGCGAGAGCAGCGCAGCCCTGCGAGCTGAATAAGGAATACAGCGCGGGCTGTACTGCGCGGTTTATGGTGAATTATACAGAGTGCGGGGCGGGCGCGGCTCCCGGGATAAACCGGCGCGCACGGCCGGAGCCCTCAGAGCGCGGCAGGGCGGCGGCAGGTGAGGAGCTGTGGGTACGGGGGAAGGCACTGCTGCATCTCCCTCCTTCCGTGCGCCTTTAGCCCTTACAAAACTCTGCTGGGAAGTGGTTGTGGCGCTGCCCGAGCCGCAGCCCGGCCGGGTGGGGTGCAGGGAGCGTCCCGGGAAGGCGCTCCGGGGAGCGCGGTAGCGCCCGGCGCGGTCTGAAAATCACTCGGGGTCTGCTGTGGCCCCGGGTGAGATAACGGCGCCCACAGCATCGGGAACATAAAGCTTATTGCCCACGCCTCTGTGTGGGGAATGAAACCCATGTTCCCACAAGCCCCGTGCCCGGCGGGTACCGGGAGTGAGGAGATGTCGGGGATGTTTCTCAGAGCTTTGTTTCCCCGCACCAGGTGCCGTTCCCGGCCGCTGAGAGCCGCGGCCCCGCCGTGGGCTGGGCTGGCACTTCCACGGCCATCCCTTCCCCGAGGAACTGTGAAGAGCACGGAAATGCCGTGATGGACGGCGACATGGGAGTTACAGCTGAAAACGATTCGTTTTTGTATTTCGCTGTGCAATAAAAGATGAAATGCTTAAAAGCTAAAGCGTCTCTGTCCTGTTGTCAAAAGTCCTGCTTTACGCTGTGGTCGGACCCCGCAAGTCGCTTCCTTGGGGAGGGGAGGTTTTGCTGGAGAACGCGGAGAAGATGCAGCGCAGGGGCCGGGCCGGGCCGTCGCCGCTTTTCCGGGAACCGGGAATTTTATCCCGTTCTCCGGAGCCCCACGTGGGGCTGGTGGCGCCCCTCGCTCACGTCACGGGGGCCGGAAGTGTTCCCTCGCTTCCCGGAAGAGGCGGCCGGAAGCACGTGGGTCGCGGCCATGGCGGACACGGACCCGGCCGCCGCCGCTGCCCCCGTGCGCTTCAAGAGCAAGTGAGGCACCGGCGGGACCGGGCTGGGGCTGCGAGGGCGAGCGAGGGGCCGGGCCGGGTCGCGCGACCGGAGCCCCCGGGCCGCCGTCGCTCCGCTTTAACGGGACCTCTCCGCGCGTCTTTTTCCCTTCCAGCTACGCTGTGACGCGAAAGATCGAGCCGTTCTACAAAGGAGGGCGAATCCAGGTAATCCCGGCTCTGGAGGGACATTTGGGGATGTCGCGCCTCCTGGTTCTAACGTTTCTGTTCCCGATCCCTTTTCTCCAGATAAGCCGGGATGGGAAGTTCATGTTCTGCCCCTGTGGGAGCAAAGTCAACGTCATCGATGTGGAAACGGGAGCTGTCCTGCACAGCCTGCAGCAGGTGACGGGAATCGGCCTCTCCTGAGCGTGTCCCGGCGCTCCCGGAGGGTTTTCTCACTGTGGATATAAAGCTCCCAGGAGTGAGGAGTGCAGGGAGGGTGGGAACGAACCCAAACACAGATTTTGGGTGGTCCCTGAGCTGTGCTCGGTGTCAGCAGAGCCATGTGGAGAAGGGAACTCTGAGATCTCTCCAGGGATGGTTTAACTGTGGGATTTCCCTTCTGTTTTCCCAGGATGAGGAAGAGGATGTCACAGCATTCGTGCTCAGCCCTGATGACGAGGTGGGTTTGTGCTCGGGACAGGCTGGGCCAGGAATGGGGGGAGTTTTGAGGTGTCTGTGCAGGGCCAGGACTTGAACTCGATGATCCTTGTGAATGTCCCCCTAGCTGGAGACATTCCACAGTTCTATTCCACGCCCTTTGTGCTTCCCGAGATCCCCCTGGAGCCTCCTCAGGCCCTGCCCAGGGGCCCAGCCGCTCCCTGTGCTGTGTGGGGCTGGCAGAAAGCCACGCTCAGGCAGTGGCTCCGTGGGTAACTGTCCCTGTCCCCTGTCCCCAGGTGCTGGTGACAGGGAGCCGGGCACTGCTGCTGCGCCGGTGGCACTGGAGGGAGCCCAGCTGCGAGCGCACCTGGCGAGCCGTGCACACCGCGCCCGTGGCCACCATGGCCTTCGACCCCACGGCCACCCTGCTGGCCACAGGTACCTCTGGAACCACCCCAGGGGCATTTCCTGCTCCTCTCTCCCGAGGGCAGGGGCGGGAGAGGTTCAGATCCAGTTTGGGGATCTGCTGGGCTTCCCATGGCTCTCTCCTGCAGAGTTCATTCCCAGATCTCCTTCTCTTCCCAGGTGGCTGCGACAGCACCATTAAAATCTGGGATATGATCAAGCACTACTGCACACACAACCTGAAAGGATCCTCTGGAGTGGTTCAGTAAGGATGAGTCCTGTCTGTCAGTCCCTGCCTGTGCTGGGATGCTGGGATTGATGTGGAATTCTTGAGTTAATGGAACATGAAGGCCCATTCCAAGCAGGTTCTGGGCTCTTCCTCTTTGAGAGCAGAGTTATGGCTGAATCTGCCCAGAGAGGAAACAGTTTGGTCAAGAATTGTCATGGAATCACAAAATTGTCGTGCAGGGACACCTCCCGCTAGCCCAGGATGCTCAGAGCCCATCGAACCTGTCCTGCTGTGGGATGTGCTTTATTTAAAGGTTGGGTGGTTTATTCCTGTCCTGTCTCTCTCCTCCTGCCCAGCCTGGTCGAGTTCCACCCTGACATCTCCCGCCTGCAGCTCTTCTCCTCCTCCATGGATTACAAGATCCGCATCTGGGACCTGAATTCCAGCAAATGTGTGGCAGTGCTGGACGGGCACTTCAGTGCCGTCACCTCGTTGGCCTTTGCAGATGGGAACACCCTCCTGAGGTACCTCCTGGCAGGGCTTTCACCTCCATCCATTCACCTCCTGCAGGACTGGGGCATCCTGGAGGCTCTGGGCAGGTTCTGCTGTGAGGGGAAGGGGTGATGCAAGTGCTCAGTGGGTGTCAGCCCTGGAATCAGGGAATGGTTTGGGTTGGAACGGACCTTAAAGCCCATCCAGTGCCACCCCTGCCGTGGCAGGGACACCTCCCACTGTCCCAGGCTGCTCCCAGCCCCGTCCAACCTGCCACAGGAATATCCTGTGCTGGCACAGGGAATGCTGCTGCTGTCTCTCCCATGGCCTCTCCAGAGAGGTGTTGAACTCCCACGGTGCCAAATTTGCACCCAGACCCAAGTTGAACAGATTTAGCACTAAAACTGAGCTTTCCATTTGCAGCTCTGGCCGTGACAAGATCTGCATGGTCTGGGACCTGGAGACCAGGCAGAGCAAACGAACTGTCCCTGTCTACGAGGTGAAACTGCTTTTTACTTCTTCCTTAGAGATCCTCTGTAGTTTCTAGGCCATGGTCTCCCTCTTTTGAGTGTGTACGTTGTGAATTGAGGTTTCCCTCCCTTCCCAGGGGTTTTCAGCTCTGGTTCTGCCTCTCTGACTCTTGCAGACTGTGGAAGCCGCTGTGTTGTTGCCTGAAGAGGGAGATTTCTCTCAGCTGGGTGTGAAGAAACAAGGGCTGCACTTTGTCACAGCTGGCAGCAAAGGTGAGTGTCACATTTGGAGCCTGAAGGGTGGCACTCCAGTCACTTCACTGCTGTCATTCCTGGCCTGTGTCCTCTCCATGTGGCAGGAGCCTTGTGTGGAGAGCAGAGCCTGCTCCTGAGTTCCTTGGGCAGGAGGGGATGAGCAGGATGGAACAGGCACAGTCTGATCCATTTAATACTCAAACACATTTTCAAACTCCATGAGTTTGATTTGCACTGACGAAGCAAAACTTTGAGGTTTTTCCAGCTGGATCCCGCCCAGTCTTGCCTTGGAGCTGCGTGGCTTTTCCCAGAGTGGTTTGGATGACGTTCCTTGGACAGCCACTGTGTAAAGCAGTGGCTCTGCCATGACTTCTCCTGTTTTTCCAGGCATCCTGAGGGTGTGGGACGTGGCCACAGCTGCCTGTGTGCACACCCAGGCCGTGCCCTTCGCGCTGCGGGAGGAGCCGAGCGAGCGCAGCCTCTCCCAGTGCCAGTTTGTTCCTGCCAGGAATGAGATCCTCACCGTGTCCCTGGAGCACAACATCGTCTTCTACGATGCTCAGACCCTCCAGCTCAGGAAGCAGGTGACAACCCTCAGCCTCCCTTTCCCTTTATCCGTGCTCCAGGATCAGCTCTGCTTCTGGAAGAGCTTTGCCCAGGGGTGCCCTTGGCTCCAGCCTGTTCTGGAATTGTTCCATGGTGCCAGAGAATTCCACTGGTTTGGGGGAATGTTGCCCAGAGGCCAACACAGGATTGAGAAAGCAGAATAGCCAGAAATGCCTCCTGTGTGTAGGAATTACACCCAGTATGAAATGAACACCAGTCATTGGCACCTTCTCCTTCAGCTGCCTTTTCCCTCTTGGACTGTTTCCATCTGCAGCTCGCAGGATACAACGAGGAGGTTCTGGATGTGAAGTTCCTGGGCCCTGGTGACTCTCACATCGTTGTGGCCACCAACAGCCCCCAGCTGAAAGTGTTTGAGCTGGCAACGTCCCACTGCCAGATCCTGTACGGCCACACAGGTGTGTGACAGCATGGGGACACGTGGGCAGCTCTTCCTCTATCCAGCTTCTCCTGGAACTCTGGTGGAGAGGAGTCCTTGAGCTCTTGGTGCAGCAGCATCCCAGCAGGGTTGGGAGTTGTGTGGAGAGAGGATGTGTCCCTTTGTCCCTGGCAGTGAGATCAGTTTAAACTGGAGCTGGAGGTGCGGGTGTGTGACAGGCTCAGTCCACAGGGACCAGGCTGTCGTGTCCCACACCTGTCCCCTGTCTCATTAGCTGGGCTCATTAAGAACTGGGCTCATTAACTCAACCCTTTCTGTTGTCCCATCTCAGCACTGCTCTGCACCCACCAGCTTTTATTTCTTCTGTTTAGAAACAATCCTGGCTTTGGATGTCTTCAGGAAAGGTCTGATGTTTGTCACTGGTGCCAAGGTGTGTCACTGCTCTCCATTTAATGAAACTCTTCATTCCTACAGATCTTGTGGCAAAATTATATTTTTGGAACTCCAGAAAGGGCTTTTTGTTCATACAATCCCTATCTAAAGCATGATCCAATTACAGGGTTGTCCCACTAGCCCTTTTTAATGTTGTCCCTGGGAAAACTGGTTGTATTTTATTGGCCTGAAGGAGATCTTTCCTTCTCTAAATATCCTGGTCTGGTGGTAGAGTTCAGAAAAGTTGTTAGTGTGTGATTGATGGGGGAAAAGGTGCCCAGAGCCCTGATAGACCCAAAAATAAAGCTCTGATACAACCAGAAACAAACCTCTGTGCTGGAACCCTGGAGTGGGGGCTGACCTTGTCCCCTGCCATGATAAAGATGAAGGTTCAAGCTGGAACATCAGGGACCAGATGATGACCATCCCAGGGCTCAGGGATGTGATGACAGCACGGGGAACTGCTGATTTCCCAGAAAACTCAGGCATTTCTGTCCTTTCCCCCCCCAGGACAGAAGCATCCGTGTGTGGCGCATGGGCAGGGCTGGCAGGGTGACCTGTGTGGCCCAGGGCCTGGGCCATGCCCACGGCGTGGGTGCTGTCACCTGCTCCAGGTAACACAGCCTGGGGAAGGGAGGGAGGGAGATGTTCTGGTGGCTGCTGTCCCCCTCCCAGCTGTGCTGCTTCTCATCCCTGCTCCCAGCTTCTCGTGGTGCCCCAGTGTGAAGGGATCGTGGAATGGTTTGGGTTGGAAGGGGCTTTAAATCTCCTCCAGTGCTACCTCCTTCCACCTCTCCCACTGTCCAGCCTGGCCTTGGATACTCCCAGGGATGGGGGAGTCACTCTGAAATGAAAGAGCTTGGAAAGCCATGGAACCACTTTTCACATCCCAGCAGTGGCTGAGTGTGGAGATCCCAGTCAGGGAGGAGGAACCACTGAATTGTTTCCCCTGCACTTGATGGTTTCATTCCTTTCAGGCTGAAGGAAAACTTCATAGTGACCAGCAGCCAGGACTGCACCATCAAGATCTGGGACATTCCAGAATCCCTCACTTCCAAAGCAAAAGCAGCCTTGATCTCCAGTCCAGAGCCCCTCCATGCCAGGGTGACCGAGAGGGGCCATGACAAGGTACAGCTCCACCTGATCTTTAGTGCTTCAGTCTCCCTCCTGTGCTGCAGCCTCTGTTCCCACAGCCAGAGCCGAGGCCTGACCCTCTTTCCCCTCCTCTTGTGGCTTCCCCAGGACATCAACAGCGTGGCAGTGTCCCCCAATGACAAACTGCTGGCCACGGGCTCGCAGGACCGGCTGGCCAAGCTGTGGTCCTGCTCCGACTGCTCCCTGCTGGGGGTTTTCTCTGGGCACAAACGTGGGATCTGGTGTGTGCAGTTCTCCCCTGTGGATCAGGTCCTGGCCACCTCCTCGGCTGATGGGACCCTGAAGCTTTGGGGACTTCGGGACTTCAGCTGTCTGAAGGTGATGAGAACTTTGCCTCTTGCCCTGGGCAAAGCCTTGGGGCTCCTTTTGAGGATCCTTCCAAAACTTGGAGCTTATTTCTTGGGGCTTTATGAGTGAATTGGATCCTTTTGGGTCTCTCCAGAGGCCTGCCACTGCTGAGCCTCCTTTCTGTTTTGCAGACCTTTGAAGGCCACGATGCCTCGGTGCTGAAGATCATCTTTGTGAGCCGAGGGGCTCAGCTGCTCAGCAGGTTTGTGCCTGCCCAGGGATCTGGGGAGAATCCAGAATTAAGGGAATATCTGAGCTCATCATCAGCACCAAGAGGGAACAGTCCTGTGTCCAAAGAATCTTTGGACAGATCTGTAGGAAGATGCCAGGGTTTCTGTAGAGGTTATTTTAATCTTCCTCTTCTGCAGTTGTTCCATGGATTCCATGTGGCTGCTGTGGCATTGCTGGGTTGGGACAAACACAGTAGGCAAAGCTAAAGGTGCATCTTGTCCTCCACATTTTTGGTTAACTCTGCTCCTGTTTGGAAGGAATTGGCATGGGACAAGTTCATCTGATATTTGAGGTGGGACAGAGCAGGAATGAATCTGTCCAGTGATTCTTTCTGTTGTGTTCCTCTTCCAAAAGTGGATCTGATGGTCTCTTAAAACTGTGGACAATTAAAACAAACGAGTGTGTGAAAACATTGGATGGTCATGAAGATAAAATCTGGGGCCTTCACTCCAACAAGAAGGATGACACGGTGGTGACAGCCTCCAGTGACTCCTGCATCACCCTGTGGCAGGTACAGCATGGGGCTTGGTTCTCCCTGGGTTAATAATCAGGGTAATTGGAGAGCTCAGGCTCTCAGTGCTTTGTTTTCCACTTGTTCTCCTTTTCTGCCTTTTGAAATTGGTTCAGCAGGGCTGATCTTGGCATTTGGGGGTATTTTATATCCATCCTGTATTTCCCCAGAGCAGCAGAAGAGTCCCAGCAGTGGAGCTTTGGAGGGAAGTTGGGAATTGCTGGATTTAACATTTAAATTACTTGACCCCGAGATTTTGCTGCAGAAATTGGTTTCCACATCACTTGATGGCTAAATCAAAACCCTTCTGTGTTAAAGCAGGATTTGATAAAGTTTTATCCTGTTTTGTTTTGGTTTTTTTTTTAATAGGATGTGACTGAAATTGAGGAGAAAGAAGCACAGGCTAAACAGGAGGAGCAGATTATGAAGTGAGTTGATCTTGTGAAAGATGCAGTGAAAGGCAAGCTGTGCAGTGGAACTGTCCCCACCTGGAGCCATCCAGCTCCACCTGATCCCAGTGGAGTGAGGGAACTGAGGTGTTTATTGACGAGCACCACAGATTTCTTTACTGTTACTGCCAAATCTGTTGCTTTTTGTGTGGTTTTGGTTTTCTCCACCACCCAAAGATTGGTCTCACCCTTGTCCCTGATTTGTTTTCCAGAGAGCAAGAGCTTTCTAACCTTCTCCATGAGAAGAGGTACCTGAAAGCTCTGGGCCTGGCCATTTCCCTGGACCGGCCACACACGGTGTTGACCGTGGTCAAGGGTGAGTCCAGAGCGAGCTCTGAAGGCATTTCCTGCTCCCTCTCCTTTCCAGGACACCTTTTCCAGCTAGTTCAAGGCTACGAAGTCCAATAATTAGTCTGAAAGCCTCAGTTTCCTGCTCTCATTTCTCCCTCCAGCCATCCTCAAGGAGCCTGAGGGGAGGAGGCACCTGGAGGAGAACATCGTTCGGCTCCGCAAGGATCAGAAAGGTTTGTTGCAGGATTGGAGTGCTGAAAGCTTTCAGGTCAGAGGCTTGTTGTGTCACCTGAAATTAGAATCCTACACTCCTGGAATGGTTTGGGTTGGGAGGTTGTCCAGTTCCACCCTCTGCCATGGGCAGGGACACCTTGCACTGGGCCAGGACCTGCCTTGGGCAGCGCCAGGGGTGGGGAGGCTCAGTCACGGTGTGGGAGCTGAGGCTCTGTGAGAAGCCAGGGCTGTTTTGGGGTGTGTGCCAGCCTGGCCAGGCTTCCTTCCCCCACAGAGGCAGTGCTGGCCTTCCTGGTGACGTGGAACACCAACTCCCGAAACTGCCACGAGGCCCAGGCCGTCATGGAGACGCTCTTGAAGCACGAGGCACCCGACAGCCTCCTGCAGTTCTCGGGAATTAAATCCGCCGTGGAGTCCCTGCTGCCCTACACGGGTGAGGCTCTGTGGGGACAGGAGGTGCTGACTTGGGTCAGGGATCATGGAATGCTTTGGGCTGGAAGGGGCACACCCCTTCCACCATCCCAGGCTGCTCCAAGCCCCGTCCGTCCTGGCCTTGGGCACATCCAGAGAGTCAGGGACAGCCACAGCTTCTCTGGAAATCTGTGCCAGGGCTTCCCCACCCTCGCAAGAAACAATTCTTTCCTGATATCCCACCTATCCCTGCCGTCTGGCAGTGGGAGCCATTCCCTGTGTCCTGTCCCTCCATCCCTTGTCCCCAGTCCCTCTCCAGCTCCCCTGGTGCCCCTTCAGGCCCTGGGAGTCTCCCTGGAGTGTTCCCTTCTCTGGGCTGGGCATTCCCAGCTCTCCCATCCTGGCTCCACCGTTGAAGGCCGGGCTCTGCTGCCTCCCCTGTGACTCTGAGCCCTTCCCTCCCTGCAGAGCGGCACTTCCAGAGGCTGGGCCGGCTGCTCCAGGCTTCCACCTTCATCGAGTTCATGTGGCAGAACATGAGGCTGGCAGCTGTGGCCCAGCAGGACCAGGGGACTCTGTGACCCCCCTTGCCACCAATTTCTCTTTCCAAAGAGCCCGCCAGGATGGCAGCTGGAGTTTTAGTTCCTGTATTTTATAATAAATGTTTTAATTTCTAAACCAAGTCCAGCATCCAATCTTCTCAGGGATGAAGGAAGGGAAAAGGCCCTTTCTTTGGCCAAGCTGGGGTTTGTTTTTTCACAGCCTGAATTATCAGGCTCACAGCAGTTAGTTTGGGATAAAAAGGCAGAATCCCAACAAGCAGTTGGGATTTAAAGGATTCATGGAGAGAGGATCCTGCTTGGGCAAAGCAGCCTGGAACAAGGAAGAGGTCTCACCCCAAATTTAGCAGCTGGGAGGGAGAGAAGCACAGTTTAAATTCCCCAAATAGCAAATTTTTAAAGCATAAAACAAGCAGGCTTCAGAGATATTTACATTTATTTTATTTCATAGACACAAATGTACAAAATTCAAACAACACAAACACCTCACACCAATGCTGGCTGGGGTGGTCAGGGCAGTCCCCTGTCCCCATCCCAGGGACACTAATGGCAGCTGGGGGTGTCAGGGATGTCCTTTGTCCCCATCCCAGGGACACTAATGGCAGCTGGGGGTGTCAGGGATGTCCTTTGTCCCCATCCCAGGGACACCAAAGCCAGCTGGGGGTGTCAGGGCTGCCCAGGGAGCCGATTGTTGCACAGCGCGCTTGGTGACGGTGCTGCAGCGCTGCAGGATCTCGCGGGCCGAGGGACGGGCTGGCACCTTGGGGACACCCATGGCCAGCTCAGGGTCAGTGAGGGATGAGCTGAGCTCGGCTGTGGGGGACTCCACGAAGCCGGAGTCGTTCCTGTCCCTGGCGCTGAGGCGCGGGGATTTGCTGCCGAGCGTGGCCAGGCCGTGGCTCGGGGCAGGAGAGCTCCTGGCCTGCTCCACCTCGGGCAGCGACCGCGACAAGTCGGGTTTCCAGGCCAGCCGGGCGTCCCCATCACTGCTGCCCGCTGAGCTCAGGGAGGAGCTGTCCAAATCCAGCTCTAGAGTGGAGCTGGCCCTGGGCAGAGAGCGGGATCTGGCTCTCGGGGAGCCGCAGCGCTGCTCGCGGGCCGGGCCGGGCCGGGGCCCCGCTGCTCGCTGCAGGGTCGGTGTGGTGGCCTTGGGGCCACAGCTCAGGATGGTCTGGAGCTTGTGGTGAGGGTTCTGGTAGGGCCGCAGGAACAGCGAGGGCATGTAGCCAGTGCAGCCGTTGTACCTGAGGGCAGGGATGGAAGGAACGCTGAGCAAAGCCTTCCAGCTAAGGGGAGGGAGCACTTGGGGAAGCGGGTCCTTGCTGTACGTGGGGTGTGAGGAGGGGGAAAGCGTCCCCAGGCCAGGACATCCAGCTCAGGGGGCTCCTGTGCGTCCCACACGGGGAGGAACAGCAAGGAACCGGGACTTTGGGAAAGGCTCCTCACCGGATCAGCCACCAGCCATTGTGGGATCTCCTGAGCACCTCCACGACCACCCCCTGGTTCAGCGAGAGCTCGTCTGCGTTCTGAGCCTCGTAGGCCTGCACCACAAAGTACAGGCTGCCTGCAGAGAGAGGGAGAGGTTGGATTTGCCTTGTGGAGAAAATGCTCCGATCCCTGTGAGAGACCAGCCCAGCTGCAGGGCAGCTGTCCCTGAGAGTGACTGGTTTGCTCAGGGACCCTAATCTGATCCATGGAAGTTGGATATAAAGAAGTTTTTGACAAAAAGGCTGGGCAGGCCCTGGAAGATGTTGCCCAGAGAAGCTGTGGCTGCCCCTGGATCCGTGGAAGTGCTCACAAGTGGACAGGGCTTGGAGCAGCCTGGGACAGTGGAAGGTGTTGGGGTTGGAACTGGAAGGGCTTTAAGCTCTCTGCCAACCCAAACCATGATTCCATGACCCGCGGGTGGTGACAGAGCCAACCAGAAGAGTCAGAGGTCCAGGCAGGGTCTCCAGGCAGTGGTAAAGTGGTGGGCTTTTGCAGAACTCATGTTTTGAAGGAGGAACAGACTTACCCTCCTCGTCTGAGCTGAAGTCATTCTGGATGTCCTCGCAGGCATCGAGCTCTTCCAGGTACGAGGCTGGGAACCAGGCTATCTGCTTGTCTGCATTTTCCACCAGCCACCAGCCTACAAAGAGGAAAAATACCCAGATTTTGACAGCCTGCAAGTCAAGACATGACAATAATCCCTGGGCAGGGGACACAAGAGACAGGAGGGACATTCACTGTCCTCCAGGTAAGCACACATGTGCAAACACCCGAACCCCTGACACTACCTCAGCATTTGCCTAGCTATGAATCCATCTGCCCATCCACCTCTGACACCAAATCCTCTCAAACCTACCAGTCATGTCCTGGATTAGCACTTCCACAATCTCCTTCTGAGCCACTCTGAAGGGTTTGTTCTTCGTGTCTTTGGTTTCAAAGGCCTCGATGCAGCGGTAGCTCTGCGATGCCTGAGGGAGGGTGATGGAGAGGGGCTGGGGCTTCTTCTCCCTTCTGAATACTGATGGCATGATCACAACACTGAAAAGTAAAGGGGCATGTCAAAAACTCATGTGAAAGGTTGAGTTTAGTACTGATTTTGGTAAAATCGTTTCTGCAGTAGGCTGAGAAAAGTTTCAGGCATCAGAAACAAAATGAACCTGGATTGAAACATCCAGCTGAACTGGCCTGAAGTGGAACCAGTATTTCCCTTCTCTCCATATCCCATAGCATTGCTGTTTCATGAACAAACAAAAAAATGCAACTCATATTTCATACCTGTTTTCAGGGAAGGAGGGATCAAGGTCTTGAGTCTGTGCCTTGAAAAACTGATTCACCTCTTCACCCTGGGAGATTTTCACATCGGTTTTCAGCAGCTCCTGGGAATATGTTTCCAGCAGTTTCAGGATCTCCAGGCACCTGCTCAGCTTCCCACCCTTTCTCTGCTGCATAGTTATACCTTCAAAATAACAAGAACACAGTTGGGATAGGACAGCAATGGATCTGGATCCCTGGGAACAGAATTTTTTCCCCTGAACAAAGGGGTGCCCTCACCCACCACCCTTCCTGCCCAAGCCCAAACTATACAAAGTCACTGTCCTTGCCTCCCTGTCATTTTTAACAGCTCTTGATACGATTTTTTAACATCTAAAATTTCTCCTTTTTTTCCCCCCATGTAAAGTTTCAAGAAGCTCTAGGTCAATATTTGAAGAGTAGCATTAATTTGCCAAGTGCAGCTATTATTAAAAAAGCCTTTCTGAGTCATTTTAAATCTGTTCTAGACCCAAACATGCTGATGTGACCCAGTGGAGCCATGGCAGGAGCAGGACTGAGCCCCAGATCTGTTGCAGAGGAAGGTCAGACTCAGAGGCTTCAGTCTGTGTCATGGCTCACGACTGTCCCTGATCACTCTTCATTTGTTGGTCCATCAGAGATTTGTCCTTACCTTTAAACCTGGGTAAACTCCTCAGTGACCCACTCTCAGTGGGGAATTTTCTCTTCAGCTCTTTCTAAAAGCAAGGAGAAGGACAGAACAGTGATTCCTCACAGCCCATGGCTGGGCTCCTTCCCATCCCCAGGACGGGAATTGTAAAATCTGAGGAATTGAAAAGTCACTTACATGGAATTTCTTAAAGTCTTCAAACGTCCTGTAGATCAGAATGTTGTTCTGATCTGACCAGGACACAAACATCATGTAGTTCTGGGAGAAGAAAAGGGAAAAGAAAAGCAGTTTAATCACAATGTTCAATTTTGGAGGCTTTCAGGCAATCAGCATTTGCTGTGGTTTAGTTGAGGCTTTTAATGTCACATTAAAAAATTAAACATTAAACCTACAAAAATATTTCCTTAATTTCATAACCCCAAATGGATAATCACTGTTGAAAACAGGAGAATTTTATGGTGCTGTGACAGAAAGAAAGCAAAACACAAGCTATTGGAGCCCATTAAAAAACAAGTCCCCTTGTCCTAGACCCCTCGGCTCCAATCCCAATACTACGGGGAATAAGCAAACATATCCCTGGAAGAATAACTCCAAATCCTTTAGCCTCCCAATCTGTAAATGATATTTAAGGAAGAAAACAAAGCCAAAACAAAAGAAAAAAAAAAAAATAAAGTACCTTCTGTTTTCTGCACTGCATGAAGCCGACAGCCTTGACATCCACGGGGTACCTATTGCAGCTCATGTTCCCCAGCGCTGCTCCTCCTTGGCAGGGAGCCGGAGGGATGTGAGAGGGAAGGATGAGAGCTGGAGGGAGCAGAGATGCTGCTCCAGCCCTGCCTGCCGAGGTTAAATACCCTGGAGCAGGAGGCAGGGCAGAGATGTTCCCGAGCTTCCTCCTCCGCCCAGCCACCGGGCAGAAATTCCGTGATTTAGCAAACTACCGCGTGCCTTTTACCTTTCCCCCCGCTTTTAACATGCAAATGCTACCGGCTGCAGGCGGGACACAGGGAGGAAAAACACATTATTTTATCACATCCTTAGCAAGCAGTGCCGGGAAGGGAGGGAAGGGAGCCGGGGATGTTTGGTTAGAGGAGGTCACAGGGGCAGCAGCACCTGCCCCGAGGTATTTCCGGGACACACGTGAGGATTTTATGGCTGTATTGCTCGGGCTGAGCTCACTCTGGCCTCAAAAACTGATTTAGAACACGAGCTGTAAAACACAGATAAATACAGGCATCATTTAACGTGAGTAATATTTGTCGCAAATATTTTTTTTCCTGTTTTGTCCCTCCTGCCGAGTTACTTTAAATAGACTTCTGAGCGTTTTATCAGTATCTCCACGGAGATGCCGATGTTATGAACTGACACATCCCCAGGATGTAACTAAAACACTGAAAGCTCCTCAGGTGTAAATATGTGATGGGAATTCAGCTCTGGCTGCTCTGCCCTGCATCCATCCAGGTGTCCAAACCATCCCAGGGCAGCTCCACTGCCCAGAGGCACAGCAGGAGAGACAATTCCAGCCTTGGACAGCCTGTCCTCTCCCTGAACCCCTGAACCCTGTGATCAAACTGCCTCCTCTTTGATAAAGCCTCAATTGAACCATTGTGGCTGTAATTATCTTTATCATTATCATTATTGGAACCCAAATTGAGAGGCTCAGCCGTGCCTCCCTTTCATTTCCCAGCTACACCTGCTGTCTCAAACCCTCAGCAACAGCTACAGGGGATTTTTCATCCATCAAACCCTCCACCCCAGAACTGGAACAGGAAGCCAAACCAGATTCCTTCTGGAAAATACAGTCGGGAAGGTCTTGGCTTGTGTTCCACGGGCACAGGAGGCTGCTCCCACACAGCAGGGTGGCAGTTTCTGGGGACAAAGAAAGCGGGTTTATTGCAGTTGGATTTATTGATGCTGGGTATCTGGCCTGTATTAAAGTTATCCAAAGAGCACTTTGGTTTGGTGTGGATTTTGGAGAGAAAATCTCTCCAACAGCATCTCCAAGGCATTTCCTGGCTCAGAAAGCCACACAGGAGCTGCCCTGTGGAAAAGGGATGTGGAGCAGCTCCCTGCACTCCACAGCCCTGGAATCAGACCCTCCATCCCTCTGTTACAAAGGCTCCAGCCAGAGCACATGCTGGTAAATCTCCCCAGGTCAAAGCCTGAGGATTTTATGGAGTGAGAGGAAATCACTTCATCCAGCAGATTTATTTAGAAAGTCCCAGTCTCTCAGGTGCCAAAACCCTTTGCTGACTCCATGTCCTCAAACCTGCCCTCCTTGGCTTCTCCTTGGCAGCCAAGCCAGGGCCAAGCTCACCCTCACGTGGCTCTGAAGTGGCTCTTGGAAATATTTGGGACCAAGACTCCCAGTGAAGCACAGGGCTCGGTTTTCTGGCTCAGAGCAAACACAAATCACAAAGTATTTTCAAGAATGTAAAAGTTGGAACATGTTTATCCTGACTGGGAAAAGCCAAAGACAAGGAAAGCCTTGGAGGGGCTGCAGGACAAGGAGATGGCCGGGGAGGCTCAGAGAGAACCATCTGTGCATACCATAAAAAACAGAAGAGTAGGAAACAGCCTTGGTCAAAAGCTTTGCCGTGTTTCATCATTCTTAGGGAGTTCAAGCAGAAAAGGGGTGTGGAAAACATCTAATGGAATGTTACAACAGGAAGGTGAAGCTACACAGGGGTTTACAAGTCACCTGAGGCAGAAGATGCAGCCATGCAGTTTGGAGAGCTGATCTTCTGGAAAAGATCGGACTGACTGGGAGATTGCTGGTGATAGTAGTGTTGTATAAAACCAAATATGAGCAAAACTGCTCAAAACTCAAGAATTGGTTATTGAGAAAATGTTTTGTGGAAGTGAAGGTTACTGTGACACAGAACTGAGGTGCAGGGAGGGAGGGGAAAAGCCTGGCACCCCTCCGAGACACCAGCACCTCTGGAGTCACCTGGAGGGCTCAGTCCCAGCTCTGCAGCTGCCACAGCAGCATCAGTGCCCTGGCAGTGCCGAGTGTGAAGTCACTAAACTGCTCCAGAATGACCTCAGGAGCCACATCACGTCTGCAGTGACACCACCTACAAACCAGGAGGCTGGGCCAGATGGCCTTGGATGGACACAGTGCTCCTCAAAGCTCCTCAAAGCTCCCCACAGCTCCCAGGGCCGCTCCTGTCGGGAAGGATGGGTAACCCACCAGCAGAGGCCATAATTCCACTTCTGTGCTGGATGCATCTGAACTCATAAAAAACAAGACAAATATTGTTTTTCTGACATGATCAACTTTACTTTGTGTCTTCTGCAGCTTCCGTGTCATCCTGGCATAAATCAGTGCCTCCTTGTGGGTAATAATTAATGGCAGGACAGGAGGGGTCTGCCCAGAAAAAGTGAGCCTCAGCAAGAACTGCTGGACACTGCTGTTTCATCATCAATATTTACACAGCTCTGAGGGCAGCAGTTAATTTTCCTTTAGTTGTTTTACAAGGTACCAAAGAGATCATAAATTAACAGGCAATAATAATAATAGGAGTGCAAACCCAGCTTTGCCAAGATGCAGAAAACACGGGATTTTTCCATAATGACTCCCATAATTTTGCAGTCTGCTCCAAGAGAGCCTCCTGCACCCCACCAAGGTGGAGCTCTGCTACTTGAGGAGCATCACTCCAGCCATAAACAGCTGCTCTGGGGACAGAAACATGTTTGTGTCAGAGCAGGGGACTAAGGTGTTGTCACAGGGAGTCACAGCAAACTGCCTGCCCCAAATTGCCCACGGCTGGGAAGACAAAGGAGGTGGCCCAGAGACTGCAGGAAGGCCCCACAGTCACCAGGGCTGATCATTCCAAGATCAGCCTCCATGACAAATGAACATTGATGCTCTGCTTTTCATTTCAGTGTGGATCAGGAGTAACTTCAGTAGAAGCAGAATCTGAGTGCACAGATGCTCAGGGGCAGCCAAAGACAGTTCCTCTCCAGATCCAACAAGAAATAGCCTTGTCCCAAATGCTTGGAGAGGAGCAGCTGTGTTATGAACATCATTCCCACACACAGAAATCATGTCTGGGCTGACCTGTGCCACTCATGGCTGACAATGTGTGCGACTCTGCATCAGGGATTTCTCCTTCTCTGGCCAGCATAGGAAAGGCAAAGAGAGGAAAAGTCCTCAAACCACCCTCAGGACACTGCAGCTGTGAGGAAGAGATACAGAAAGGAGCTGTGGGCACAGCCAAGGGGGGCCTGGAACAAAGCTGGTGGAAAAGCTTTCCCTCGCTCACCTTCAGGATCAAAACCTGCCCTTTGCTGCTCTTGAAGGTCACCTGTGATGACACATGACCTATCAGCACCTTTAATGAAAAGCCCAGATGCTAAAAGCCGATTTTAAAAGTACAAAGAGGTTTTAGACTTTTAATAAATAGAGAAACAGACCTTTATTTAAGAAGAATAATGAAAACCCAGATACTGGAGTTGACAAAAGTCTCCTTCACCTCATGAACAAAGGAAGCAGTTGAACTTTCACACAGGCTGAGATGAGAGATTTTGCAGTAACTAATCCAGAAGAAAGAATTTAATTTCATTCTAATTTCAGCAGCTGCTGCAGGCACTAAAGCATTTCTCTGTGGCAGACCCAATTCAGTAACCCTTTGAGCCCAGGCAGCATCTCAGCTCTCTCCCTCTCCATCACGGGAGCTTCCCAAGGTGCTCATCCCTCTTCAGTGCAGGGGGTACTCCCTCCTCACAGGCAGCTTCATTTCAGGATCCAAAATCACAGCATTGCATCAAACTCCCTCAAACCTCACTCCCGAGGTGTCATTTTCTTTGGAAAGCCCTTGGGATGGCCCCACCCAGCCCAGGGAGAGCTGTGCCCATCTCAGGAGGTTTGCTCGCTGCCTGGGGCATGCACAGCGGATGGGCTCCTGTTTACCAAGCACTTGTTGCAATGATTTCATAGTTCTTTTATAAAAGTGACATGTTTTCCTAAGGTTATGCACAGGACAAAGGTGTGATTCAGGAGGGAATCTTCCAGAAAGGGTGAGAATGTAACTTAAGCTGCTTCAAGAAGAGGAGGTTCCCTGAATCACTTTCTCCATAAAAAGTGGTGTTTGATGAGCTCATGGCATGAGGCCAGCGCTGTGTGGACGCGATGGAACCCAGGAATGGGATGTGAAGGGAGAAGAAAAGCAGGGTGGAGTTCCTAAGGGGGTTTGAGGCTGTGCAGTGCCTGCCCTACACATTCCCAAATCCAGCGGGGTAAATCCCAGCAACACCAGTACAGCCAACAGGAAGCGCAGCAAGCACCAGCGAACGTGGAGAAATACTGTTTTCACTTGGGGAAAATCTGTTCTTACATCATGCTAAATATAGTAAATTGATTGGAGATAAGACCGTTCTGTTCCTTCCAGATTAGTCAGAGATGCTCATCCCACTCTTTCCCTTTCCTCATTCCCCACAGCCATTGAGGAGCAGAGTATGCAAAGCCTTATCTCTCCTGGGGATTCCACCAGCGCCAGGAGCTCTGGCTAAAAGTCCACTCATATTTCAGAGCAAAGAGCAACTTGTGTTCCTTGGCCCCTTCAGAAACCAGGGAAAACCAGATCCAATCTTCACTCAAAAGCCTGGTGGGAGAAGAGCAATGTGGAAGGGGCCGTTCTTTCATTTATGTTTTATTCTTGATGAGTCCAAACAGAGCAACTGTTACCTGAGGAAAACCTCTTCCACTGAAGGAGATTTCCTGTTGAATTCCTTTGACCTCCCTCTGGAAAAAGGAATCACCCCAAAAGAGGGGCCACTCTCCTTTTGCAAAGCCGAGAGGAACAGGAACTGCTCACTGAAGACTTCATGCTTAATTTTTCAAGAGCACAAAAGGAACCCCCAATTTTACTGTGTTTATCCTTGGAATGGATGAATTGATTCCAGGGATGCTCTGAGTGGGTCTGGGAAGGAGGAGATAGACTGGAGCATGACACAAGCCAACCTGCAGAAATAATTTGGTTTTCTCCCTGCCCCTGCCATCACCATTACTCATGGATTCTCATTTTAATTTAAACATAAAAATGGCACCAACTTTAAAAGAACTAACTCAGTGTCTGGTGTAGATGCCCAGATTTGAGCAAGGCAGTGCCTTGTGCTCAGTCTTACACTTCAGACTGTTCTGAACACATTTCAACAGTTCTGGATGGATCTGAACCAAGACCAACATCTCACCCATTCCCTGGCAGGGGGGCTGCAGGCTCCTTCCTGATATCTAGGGGATAAATTCATAGTTTTGGGAAATTTTGCAAGTGATAAGGTTTGTGTACACAAGCAGAGAGGATCAATATGATTCACTTGACTAGAAATAAATGTCTTTTTTTTGTTGTTGTTGCTATTTCCTAGTTGGCTGTCATTTCTCAAACAAGTCTATGACTAATTCCTGGTGCTGGCTTATCACTGGTCAGACTTTAGGCTCACATTCTCACGTGTAAATACAAAACAGCTTCCTGCTGTATTCCCCTGCAGAGGGAAGCAGTTATACTCAGCTGGAACTACCTACAAAACCGTCACAAAAACACTTGGTAAGGGATCCTGAGAGGCACAGGGTATATTTTTCACCCCCAAAATATCAAAGGATCATGGAATGGTTTGGGTTGGAAGGACCTTAAAGTCCATCCAGTGCCACCCCCTGCCATGGGCAGGGACACCTTCCACTGTCCCAGGCTGCTCCAAGCCCTGTCCAACCTCACCTCTTCCAGGGATGGGGCAACCAGGACCTCTCTGGACAACCTATTCCAGTTGCCTCATTTGAAACTTTAAATAAATTACTGGATATTCAGTGGTGTTTAAATTCCCAAATGAAGAAGGCTCTGAGAATATTAATCCTTGTCCTAGTCCATAAAGAGCAGCCTGCGGGAACCTGGGGTCACACTGCTGGGAAAGAGTTGTGTGAAGCCTCCTCGGGATCATTTCCCCTTGTGTCTCCTCTCCTCCTTGTGGTCACTTGCTTTGCTCAGGGGCTGTATTTAAGCAAGGACCATTGTCCTTGCCCAAGGCCACTGTGAGGACCCCTGTGCCATGGATTTTGCAGGGCTCAGAGGGGCGGGGAGGGTGTCCAGCCCCATTTCTTCTTCCCTCGCCAAGCCCCACTGTCAGCGGCCCGTAGCCAGCTCTCATCTAGCAGGCGCAAAGGTAAGAGCAGAAGATCAAACAGCTCTGAGAAAGGCAAACACAGCCTTTCATTCTCTCCAGCATGGTTTTACTGCTGCTTCCTGGTGACTGCTGTCATCACTCCCTGAGCTGCCCCATTCCAGGCACAGCTCTGAGGAAGATGACATCTCAGTGACATCTGTGACTTCAGCGGGCCCAGTCTCACAGATACCAGTAGCTGGAGAAGAGGAGCTTTGCTGGCAGCACCTGTGCCCAGAAGCCCTGGGCAGGGACACCTTCCACCACCCCAGGCTGCTCCAAACCCTGTCCAGCCTGGCCTTGGACACACCCAGGGATCCAGGGACAGCCACAGCTTCTCTGGGCACCCTGTGCCAAGGTCTCCCCAGCCTCACAGGGAACAATTCCTCCCCAAAATCTAATTTGTGTGAGGAGCTTGTTTGGTAACAGGCTCTAGTACACTCCAGCTCCTAAATCAATGCTAGGAGCAGAGGGATGGGTTGTCCAAGGGGGAGCAGGAGGGAATGTTCCCTCATCCTTCCTCAGCTCTGCACCACATTCCTTCCTTTGGGTGGAACTAATATGGCTCTCCACTTGGATTCATTTAGAGTCAGTAAAGTGAATTTCCTTGCTCTGACTTGAATTGGAGCATTTCTCCATTTTTTAAACTTCGAAATCTAAGCTGATGCTGGGCCTGAAGGTGAGTGAAGAAGACTGGGAGGATGTTTTCCTAAAGAGCCAGCTCTGCTCCTAGAGCTGAGCAGGAAAGGAGAGAAGGGAGCAATGTGGAACACAAATCTCTGTAACCAACAGCCTCCTTCCAGGCTATGAGCTTTTTCCTTTTCAAGAAAAAGGCCGATATTTTAACTAATAAATTAAATCACTATCAAGGAAGCAAAATCTGCTAGTGGTCAAACCAGGAGATTGCTGTGACTTGGAAACATCTGTAATTATTTAATTGCCTGAAGACCAAACAATAAAGCTCTACAGGAAATTCCCTCGGTATCTCATCCTCTTTTTTCCTGACTTTACAAAAATTAACAAGGTCGTGAGCATCAGTTAAAACATTTATTGGTGGGCAAGGAAAACAGACATAAAAATGTTACTGTCCCTACTTGATCTTTCCTTTGCGTGTGAAATTTATCTTTATAGTTTTCTACAACTTCAAAGACATTCCACCAGTTCCTACCAGTTACTCACGTGTCTTATCCCTCACTCACAAAAATCAGCAAAGAAATATTCCCAAGAAATTGCGAATAAATAAGAATAAAGGAGCACTGGTAAATAGAGACCCCAAGATGGAGATCCAGACCATCAGCTCAGTGCTCCACAGAGCAGGAACAGCTCAACCATTTCCACATGAAACACACCAAGTGTTAAAATATTTTTGAGGGCATTGAAGTCTTTGAGGTATTTCTCTAAAATGATGCTTTTTCTAATATACATTTTATACCACAATGTATTAAAAAAATCACAAATATATAACTATATATAAGGTGACATTTTGGTCCAGCTCCATCCTGGATGTACATTTGTTTGCATTAAACAAAATAATCATATTTTTCACTTGACCTACAGGTGATGAACAGGAGAAAAGTTGAAGTGGATACAAAATTCACATTGTTCATGATAAGAGATTTATGGCTCTCAAACCTTTAAGAGCATGACAGAATCAAGCTGAAAAGAATGACAGCAAGTCTGTGCTGCTCTCCAAGTTTTCACCCTCTGACCTCTATTAAGAATTTTGTAAGGCTACAGCTAATTAAGGTTTCCAAGGGATGAAAGAGCAAGCTCCAAAGTCTGATGCCAGGCTGGACCATTGCCCAGGTCTCCACCCTCATGTGCTCACATGCCTGTGGCTCTCTGGGAATAAATGAAATACCAAATGTCCACTCAAGACCAAGGCTCTGGGACCAGGTCTGGCTCTCCATCACCCTGAGGAGTCCAGCCACTCCCAGGCAGCGCCTGCCCTGGTGTGACACGTGCCAACTCTCTCAGAAAGAGGAAAATCCTCCTGTATGGATTTACAAGCATGTGACAGATGTTAAAAACATGAAGAATTTCATATGGGTGTGTTGCTATAGAGGGACATGAGTTGAATTGGAGTTATCCACTTGTTTGTCCATAAAATCGCCCTGTTGATTGTATGACACTGCTGGAGATAACGCTGAGGTGCCCATCAGCACTGCTGGCACGAAGGAGAGCTGCTGTGTGCCATGAGCACACAATATCTACACATCCCAGAATCCCAGAACAGATGAGTTTGGAAGAGATCATCCAGTCCAGCCCCCTGCCCAGGCAGGGTCACCTGGAGGTGACAGGAACGTGTCCAGGTGGGTTTGGGATGTCTCCTCAGGGAGACTCCACACCTTCCCTGGGCAGCTGTTCCAGGGCTCTGCCACGCCAGGGCTCTGCTCTTTCCTCTCTCATGGAAAGAGCTTCTTCCTCACATCGAGGTGGAAGTTGTTGTGTTTTAGTTTGTGGCCACTGCTCCTCGTCCTGTTACTGAACAGAGTCTGGCACCATCCTCTGCCACCCCTGGGAGGGATTTGTATGGATTGATGGGATCCCCTCTCAGCCTTCCCTTCTCCAGACTGAGCAGGCCCAGCTCCCACAGTCTCACATCACAGAGATGCTCCCGACCCTATAATAACATATATGTATTTTTGTGTTCATTTGGGAGGGCTGTATGAGGGGAACAGTTCTTTGACACCCTCAAGGGGACATGGCAGAGCTCCTCACACAGAGTAGAAGCAGAGGGATCTGTGCGCCCACCCTGAGGGTGAGCACAGCCCCACCACACCCAAGGGGTGATGTGAAGCGAAAATCCAGGAAGCACAGGCGGGAGTGTCGTGTTCTCCTCACAAACGATATTTCAACACAAGAGTTTGCTGCTGTTTTTTAGTAAAAATACACCAGAACCGGCACTTGGCTGTGTACCGGGTCCGAGCCCCCTCACGCCGCCCGGGCGGGAATGGCGCCGCCCCGGCCCGTCCTGCACCGCGGCGCCAACATGGCGGCGCCCAGCGAGGGCCGTGCGGGCCGGGGCTCCTCGGCCTTCCCGGGCACCGACAGCGGCTCCTTCCCCTTCCCCGTCCCGCACGGCGCGGCGGGGGAGCCACCCAAGAAGCCATGCCGAGCCTGCACGGATTTCAAGAGCTGGCTCCGCGAGCAGAGGAAGCAGGCGGCCCCGGGCAGCGCGGTGAGGCGCGGCAGGAGCCTCCCCTGGGAACTCCTGGCGACCCCCAGTCCCTGCACGGCTCCCTCAGTCCTCCATCCTGTTCCTTCAAGTGGGATGAGGCTGCGTGTTCCCTTCAGGGTGTGGAGGAGCCGGGGACAGCGTTCCCTTCAGTGGGAATGGAAAGAGGGTCCCCATCTCCTCCCTGGGGGTGAGGGGGCTCTGCCATTGTCCCCGCTGAGGGTGTGAGGGGGGCTCTGCCATGTTCGGATTGAAGGTGTGAGGGGGGCTCTGCCATGTTCCGATTGAAGGTGTGAGGGGGGCTCTGCCATGTTCCGATTGAAGGTGTGAGGGGGGCTCTGCCATGTCCTCAGAAAGGATGTGAAGGACCTGTTGCCCCCATCTCACCTTCCCACACAGCACAAAAGGGCTGTTTCCCCACCAACCCCGCTGTCCCCTCACACGCCTCTGCCCCTCTGCAGGACGTGGCGGTCGCGGAGGAGAAGGAGCCCCCTCCGGACTGTCCCCTGGACAGCGAGCAGCTGGGCCGCAGCACCTGGGCCTTCCTGCACACCATGGCCGCCTACTACCCTGAGCGGCCCTCCGGGGCACAGCAGAAGGAAATGAGGGACTTCATCAACCTCTTCTCCAAGTTCTACCCCTGCGAGCACTGCGCAGAGGACCTGAGGGAGAGGTGAGCGGCCTCACAGGGTTTTTTGAGGATCTGGGGAAAGGTGAGTTTGCTCAGCGGTTTTTTTCAGGCTCTCAAGACAAGTGACTGGCCTCAGTGGGTTTTTGGAGGATCTGAGGGAAAGGTGAGTGGCCTCAGCAGGTTTTTGTGCTGGAGGGGCTTGCCAGAAGTGCTGGCTGCAGCAGCTAGTTTGCATATCAGCACCTCTTCCTGCACGTGGGGTTTGTAGCTACCTGAACTGGTTTCTTCCATTATTGCATCAATCACAGATGCACGTACTCAAAAAACAAACACCTGTCCTCACACTGTTGGGTTCTGTGCTGCCTCTAAAGCTGCCCTGAGGCGATTTTTGAGTTTTCTGGTTCAAAATGGGCTTGTGAACAGTTGTGGAATTAGGTTGGGACTTGGAATAATTTGGGTTTCGGGAGACAAGTGTTCTTCTACCCTCAAAAATGCCCTGTATTGGCAATCTCAGTAGTGAAGACAAGACTGAGATGGGCTGAGGTGTTTGATTTGGTAGAAGATGTCCCTGCCCATAGCAGAGGCTTAGGATGAGATGATCTTTAAAGTCCATTCCAACTCAAACCATTCTGGGATTCTATGATAAAGTTTCCTGCTGCTCTCAGCTTCTTTCTCAGAAGTTTCAAATCATTTGTTTCCCCTTCTCTGTTTGCAGATTACGGACAAACCAACCCGATACGAGCACCAGGAGTAACTTCTCCCAGTGGCTGTGTCTCCTCCACAACGAAGTGAACAGGAAGCTGGGGAAGTCGGAATTTGACTGCTCCCGTGTGGATGAGCGCTGGAGGGATGGCTGGAAGGATGGGAGCTGTGATTAACCCGCAGGGATTGCTCTGGGAATCCAGCAGAGCAGTTCAGTCCATGTGGAGTTGCTGCAGGGACAGTGGGAGACAGTAACTCTGTTTGTGTGGGACTGATTCAGAGCTGAACCAATGCCAAAGGGAGAATTGAAAATCCTATCCCAATGATATTTTGATAAGTGGTAGCAGTAATGGTACCTGAGGGGTTGAGGCTGCCAGAAACCTCTGAGATTGGGTCACTGACAAACTCATTTCATTATGACATTTCCTGATTTTGGGGGCATTTGCTTATTTTTGTGGCTAGAATTGATTTTCCCTGAACACAGTGGTGTTCTCCACAGGTATTGCCTGATGTTTTAGAAAATGCATCTGATTAATTGTCATTTTAATTTCTGATAGAGAAAACTCATGCTGGGTTTTGTGCCGGGTCTGTAACCCTGGATTTCTCTTTCCAGGATCTCCAAGATTTGTTGTTACTCTTGAATCCAGTTCCTTTGATAAAAATCCTGAGGGCAGGTACATTTAATTTAAACACTAAAATCATGGAGCCCAGATTTCTCACTTGGTTTTTGTATTTCAACTTACCATGTCAGAGGACAAAACAGAGTCAAAATCATTTCAACTTCTTTACGTAGGTTGTGATCTCATCCCTTCCTGCACTCCTGGCTGGGAGAAGTTTGCACAAACCCTGACAACAGCAGGTTCTTTTTTCCTTCCCTGCTTCCTGCTCAGGTTCTCTTGCATGTTTTATTGAGCTTCCTTATGTCATGCCCCACAGCACACCTGTGAATTTACCCTTGGGGTTTTTTTGCAGGTTTTGACTGGAAATAGCAATGGCATTTCTTATCTGAGACCCAGTGCCTGGGGCTCCTTAGTGGTTAGAGAGCCAGTAACACCTTTGGAGACACATTTTAATATTTTATGGCACAGTCAAGTCCTTTAAAGTCGGGTCTGTAAAATGAATATGAGACTTTTTATGGATTTTTATGATTTCTGAACTTACGTTGTAACATTTCTAAGCACAAACCCGAATGAGCTGATAATGAGTGTGATTCAAGGTGTCATTCAGGCTATTAAAAGTGCTCAGAAAATTTCCCTATCACCATGTTGAGGTTCTTAGAACAAATAAATCCCAGCTCTTGGGTTTTTTATCTTTTGGTAATGAACTCAGCCCTCAAAACAAAGCCCATTGGGATCCACTAGAGGGGAGAGGAGCAACAAAAGGGCTGCATTCCTCTCTTTTAGCAGGCAGGACCCAACTGACTCAGTTCTGTCAGGACACTTTTAGCAGCTGGGGGTGTGGGCACCAATCCTTCTGGGTTTGGTTGTGCTAAAGCAGGGATTTTGTGTTCTTCCACTCCAATCTGCCCTCAACTGTTCTCTGTGACAATTTCCTCGCCCACGGAGCAGATGATGAGATTTCTGCCTCATTTGTTTCAGCGTAAATGAGCAGGTTGGTGAAGCATCTGTCCCATCCTTTGTCACCTCCATCTAGCAGGGGACCAGGCTGGGGAGTTGCACTGTCCTGGGCCAGTCCTGGGATGTGCCAGCCAGGGTCAGGGACCAGCAGGGACACAGGAGCCTCCCACCACACCTGTCCACTCCCTGAGTGCAGAGAGGGAAGTGAGGGTTTATCCAACACATTCTGGTCACTCTGTGTGCTTCAGGCTGCTGCTGGTGGAGTGCAGGAGGAAAAGCCTGTCCTGTCCTGGCAGGGCTTGGGAAGAACCTTCAAGCTGAGACTGTCTCTTTAGCAAATCCTGCCTAAAAATGAGGCCACCAGCTGTGGCCAGGATGCTTTTAGGGCAGTTTCTATCTTTGCCAAGTGGCCATTTGATAAAATCTGTGCTTGCACTCTGTTCTCTCATGTTTTAGGCTTGGCAGAAGAGCTCTGATGTAGTTGTTTCTCAGGCATATCCTCACCTCTGTGGACTTGACCATGTGAGGAGTGGGGGAATTTGTTCTGCTGCTCATTTGTACCACAAGTTTTAGTCTTGGGTAAGGAATTTCCATTGGAGATCCTCATACTCCTGTACAGAAAATTGTGAATTCTCTACTAACTGCACTTGATTAAATCTAGTCTTAAAAATCTCTGTATTCAAATTATATTTCTTGTTGATGTAAAAATAATAAAGCAATTGAGTTCACTTCTGCTCCTGGTCCTTTCCTCTTGTGCTGTGGAATTGATGCAGTTCTCTGTTGGCCCAACAAAAATGCAGGAATTTGTACAGCAGGTCCTGTCAGGTCAGAGTCTGCTTTTATATGAGGAGCAGTGGGAATTTTTCTGGGATCCCAGTGATTTTTGGACTTGCTGACAGCACGAGGGGCAGCATTAGAGCTGGGAGCAGCTCAGCTCTCGCTGGTTTGGAGCAGGGTGGCACCGCTGAAGGGCAGGGCTTGCAATCCCATTTCCTGGAATGGGGAAGCTCCTTCCTCTCCATCCAAGGAGCCCTTGTGAGGAAGAGCAGAGTCGGGAGCAGGTGCTGCCCAAGGAGCTTGTGGGACCTTGCTGGAGAGCTGCTGCTGTGTGACAGGCACCTGAGCAACCTTGCAGCATCCCAAATTCCTCGCTGTTTTCATGGACCGGTTTGCATTCAAACTGTACTTCACTTTTTTCCTTCTTATTTTTTTTTATTTTTTTAAGCAAAGAGCAGGGAGGCCTGTGGGAATTGTCTGTTCCATGGATGGCAGGCAGACTTGCAGATGCTGGCAGAAGCAGCACTGTGCCTTTGACGTTTTTCCAGGGATTAGCTGTTCCTTTGCAGTGCGTTGGGTGTACGCAGGCTCCTGTTTACAGTAGGATTCCCAAGAGTTGCTTTGTTTTCTCTTGTCTTTTGTTTCAGTCTGTTCCAGGCAGTGTGGGAGATTCTTCCTGCTGGAGTTTTACAGGCTTGGAGAGGGAAGTGTTTGGATTTTTTAGGGTTTTTCTTTCCCCTCTCTGTAAGCACTGGGTTTGTTGGGGTTTTATTCCATTCCTGGAATGGTTGCTCAGACCTTTTGTCTGAAGGATGGAGAGAAGCTGTCCAGTATTTTTTGAAGTCAGGATTAGGCACAGCCATCAAGGTGAGGTGAAGTCAACTCTTGATTTTGTAGGGTAATAAGGAAAGCAATAAAACATGGAAAGCAAACCACAGGTAATGGCATGGAGACAAATCAGTTAAATTGTAATCCAGGGAGGTGAGGGTCAGCCTTGGCACCACAGGGAAGTGTTGATGAACACCAAATTGTGATTCCAGGCTGACCAACCCTCAGTTCAGGTGTTCATCACAGTGCAGGGAGCTGAGGGATGATGGTAGGTGGCATCTTCTGCACAACTGTGAACAAAGGTTGTTTGCTGAAGATAAAATGGGGTTGGGTGCCCTTCTCTCTGCTGATGCATGTAAAAAAAACAAACAATGCAGATGGATCTGATTTTTCTGTCATTTCTGAGTATTTGTAATTGCTTTTAAGATTTCCACAAATAAGAGTGACAGAATATCCTCAGTCACAGGGGACCCACAGGCATCATCCATCTCCCGAGGCTGACGAGCTTTGAAACCAACGTGTTCCCCTTGGCATGTGACAGTCCTGGTGAGGGGTGGCCGACCCTGCCTGGAAATTCTGCTGCCATTTCTCTGGGCTGGTGTGGGCTGGCACCCTGACAGTGCCCCTGGCACTGGGACCTGCCCAGTTCTGCCCTTGCTTCCTATGGAAAGGTGCCCTCCACTTCCAGGTGCTCTGCTAGTGCAGGCTGATGCTTTTCCTCCTGGGAACTCCAAATCCAGAAGCTCCCTCCTGGTCCCAGTTTTCCCTCCCATCCAGCACATCCTGTGACTCCTTGGCTTCTGTTCGTGGCAATGTGCTTCCCACAGGGAGCTACCAGGAAAATTCCCTTCACATCTGAACAAGCCAACAGCAGAGGGCAACAGAGGATGTATGGCCATGTATTTCCCTGTGTTTCCATGTATTTCCCTGTGTTTCCATGTATTTCCTTGTGTTTCCATGTATTTCCTTGTGTTTCCATGTATTTCCCTGTGTTTCCATGTATTTCCTTGTGTTTCCTTGTGTTTCCTTGTGTTTCCTTGTGTTTCCATGTATTTCCCTGTGTTTCCATGTATTTCCTTGTGTTTCCTTGTGTTTCCATGTGTTTCCATGTATTTCCTCGTGTTTCCATGTGTTTCCATGTATTTCCTTGTGTTTCCATGTATTTCCTTGTGTTTCCATGTATTTCCCTGTGTTTCCATGTATTTCCCTGTGTTTCCATGTGTTTCTTTGTGTTTCCTTGTGTTTCCATGTGTTTCCATGTATTTCCCTGTGTTTCCATGTATTTCCTTGTGTTTCCTTGTATTTCCCTGTGTTTCCATGTGTTTCCATATATTTCCATGTATTTCCATGTATTTCCTTGTGTTTCCATGTATTTCCCTGTGTTTCCATGTATTTCCCTGTGTTTCCATGTGTTTCCATGTATTTCCATGTATTTCCTTGTGTTTCCATGTATTTCCCTGTGTTTCCATGTATTTCCCTGTGTTTCCATGTATTTCCCTGTGTTTCCATGTGTTTCCATGTATTTCCATGTATTTCCTTGTGTTTCCATGTATTTCCCTGTGTTTCCATGTATTTCCCTGTGTTTCCATGTATTTCCCTGTGTTTCCATGTGTTTCCATGTATTTCCATGTCTTTCCTTGTGTTTCCATGTATTTCCCTGTGTTTCCATGTATTTCCCTGTGTTTCCATGTATTTCCTTGTGTTTCCATGTATTTCCCTGTGTTTCCATGTATTTCCCTGTGTTTCCATGTATTTCCTTGTGTTTCCATGTGTTTCCTTGTGTTTCCATGTGTTTCCATGTGTTTCCATGTCTTTCCTTGTGTTTCCATGTATTTCCTTGTGTTTCCATGTATTTCCCTGTGTTTCCATGTATTTCCTTGTGTTTCCTTGTGTTTCCATGTGTTTCCATATATTTCCTCGTGTTTCCATGTGTTTCCATGTATTTCCATGTGTTTCCATGTATTTCCTTGTGTTTCCATGTATTTCCCTGTGTTTCCATGTATTTCCCTGTGTTTCCATGTGTTTCCTTGTGTTTCCATGTATTTCCTTGTGTTTCCATGTATTTCCCTGTGTTTCCATGTGTTTCCTTGTGTTTCCATGTGTTTCCATGTATTTCATTTTCTTGACTTTTCCATCTCTTACCCATCTCTGGACCAAGGCTGCTCCAGATACCAAAAGTTTTACCTCATCCTAGTCCCTCTCATGTGACTTTGGGAGGAGATTTTGGTGCCTTCAGTTACTTTTCAAACCAGTGTGCAAGCCTCTTGTGTAATTACCAAAACGAGGGATGTGTTATTCCTCTGCCTGCAGCTGAAATCTGCACTTGGAAGCAGAATAAAACACTGCACAGTGTTTCCTGCATTTCCTACCTGTTCTTCAGCTCATAGCTGGTGATGTATGGAGATGTTCTGTCTTTTTCTGGTCATTAACAGATTAGAAAGTGAATTAACTTCACTGGTTAATTTTGTAACAGTGACAGGGCTCCTGCACAGACCAGAGGTGTTTACAGGGAACACACAGCAGTCATGGAACAGCCAGAAGAGGGACCACACTTCCTTGGCATTGTTGTCACCTGCTCTGCTTTGCATAGGAAAAGGTTGGAAGAAGTCCCAGGGAGTTTCATGGGAGTTTTGCTTTGGGCTAGCAGATCTGTGAGAAAGGAAACAGCTGAGTTAATTTAATGTCTGTCCCACCAGGCATTTCATGCAGCCCCCTAAAACCTTCCATGCTTCCCAGAACACCAAGCTTTAGTTCTAAGCTCAAGTCCCAGTGCTGGATGGAGACTTGCCCTGTAAATTCTGAATATGGTTAGGCAAAGCTGGGCTTTCCCTGATTTTTCCATCCAGGTGTGCATAAAAAAGTGGATTCTGAGACTGTGCTTCATGTTCTGCTGCTTAGATGGGGTAAAAGATATACAAGGTATAAAAGCCAATGTCCTCATGGCCAGAGCATGTGGCTGGAGGCTCCAGAGATCAAAATTCAGTTCTTTTTTAGTCATAACTTCATCTTCTGCAGCCACAATTCCACTTCTGCATAAGGGGGTTAAAAATAGCTGTTAGGGCAGCCTTCTCCTGTATTCCTATTTAGATGAAAATCTCTTTCAGGGAGGCTGTTTTAATGTGCTTGTGCTGCACAAGCCTGGGCCTGAGAGTGTTCACAGTTATAAAATCCCTCACCTCCATCCATCCCACAAATCTCTTTTCCATCAGGTCGCATCCTGCTCACGGATCTGAGGACCTGTTAGGGTCTCATTCAGTTAAGAAACAAAGCTTTTCTTATTTTCAGTGTATTTTGGCAGCAAAATAGCTCAAATGAGAGTTGTGGAAGCTCTTCACATCCAGTGTGGCTTGAGCTGCCCCATGTCCTTGCACCTGCCAGCTCTGCTCACCGGTGACAAACACCAACATCGGCTGGCACGTCCCCAGCACGCCGGGGTGCTCCTAAGGAGGCCAGTTTGGGGAACAGCAAGACACCTTATTCCCCTTTTTCAAGCTCCTCCCAATGTGGGGAGCAGTAGCTGAATCAGATTAGATTCTGGTTTGCCAAAACCCCCAAACTTTTGATGCCGTGCCGTATCTGGAGGAGCAGATGCTGAGTTTTCTCCTGAGCCGTTGAGGCCATGGCTGCACCACTGAGAGGTGTTTTGAAACCCTTTGGGGTTTGGTTCAGTTTGGGTTTTATGCAAGCACTGAGATAACAACTCCTCTGTTCAAAACCATTTCTACCTCAGCTCACCGAGTTCTGTTCTCCCAATTTTCCCTCGGTGGTTTCAGTCAGAAAAGTTTTCCACAGTTTTTCCTGGCACACTTGTCCTGGGTGTGTCTGTGTACAGTAAGTGCTGAATCCCACCTGAGAAATATTTCACAAGCAGATGAGTAATCAGCTAATAAATGATCTTCCAGATATTTTTGGATCTCTAAGGGTGGAAAGCATGAAGAGCTTTCTAGTGATAGCAAGCTCAAGGTATTGCTCATCAGGAAGCCCATTCTCTCTGCCACTGGGCCCTGTAGACTTCTAAGCTCTTCTCAATATTCCCATCAACTCTGCTTTTCCTGATGGCTGAAAGCAGCATCAGCCAAGCTCTAATGAACAGCAAGCAAAGCATTTCAGAGCAACAACTAAACCAGCATCTATCAAAGTGCCCAGGGAATGGGAAGGACAAGCTGTTTTCCCACCCACACCCATGCCAGGGCAGGCTCAGACCACAGGGAGCTGCTGGAATCCGTGTCCAGAGCCTGTCCAGCTCCCTGGGGCTGGGCACTGCAGCCAGGCTGTGTCCTGCACGCTGGGATTGCTTCACTCCAAACACACACTGGTGGAGCTGCTCCCAGAACAAGGCGGTTTCACATCGCTTTTCCCACCCGGAGCGCTCTGCCCAGCGCTGGGACCCCACACACAAGGAAAACGTGGATCTCTTGAGGTCACTGATGGAGCCCCTCTGCTCTGGAGCCAGGCTGGGAGAGCTGGGGGTGTCCAGCCTGGAGAAGAGAAGACTCCAAGGAGACCTTGGAGCCCCTCCCAGTACATAAAGGGTCCTGATCACAGCCCTTGGCTGAGTGGGTAGGACTGACTGGAACAGGTTTTTGAAGGAGAAAGCTTCACATCTTATCTCCTCCAAGTTGTCATGTCCACATACAAGAAAATGTCATGTCCACTTAGCCCCAAGAAAACCTGAGGGGGTTTTTTTGTGATAGAGACAAAGATAAGAAGTTGGCATGGCCAGAAGAAGCAGAAAGCAAATACAGGTTTTCCACTACCCTTAATTAAACTCACGTAAAATAAAAACATGGGCAGCTCTGGGGCAGTTGTGTGTGTGCTGCTCTGTTTCCTGTCCTTGTTCTCTGTCCCTGAAATCCAGAGGGAACAGTAAATACAGACAAAACTTGTTCAAACTGAACAAATCCTCTGGGAAATGCCATTTCCAAGCACTGCTGTTCTCTATTTGATGGGCAAAATGTGGAAGGTGCAATATCCTTCCCCATTATTGGCTGGCTCTGTGTATCTGTTGATTTTCAGCAATAGGAAGCGAGACAGAAAGACAGTTTGTATGTGGGCTGGAGATATCTCCTGTGCTTTCCCTGAGCTGGAGCAGGGGAAGAAAACTGGCACCCCATGATGTGGGCAATGATTGTATAAACACTGCACACAGCAGAAGTTGGGGGGATGAACCCAAAGAAAAGACAAGTTTAGGAGCAAGGATCTCAATGTCTGGTGCACCACAGGCATACCTTGAAGAGTATAAAGCACTGACCTGTCTAGAAATGGTCATGATTGGTTCTAGGGCAACATCCCAAAGATTCAGGCAGTGTCCTTGTGCTCTGCATTGTCCAAAATATTCCTGTTCCAGCTGGGACAGATGAGCCAGGCAAGACGCTTTAGAAAGAGGGAGGAAGAAGCAGCTTTCCCAACATGATCAGAAAAGCAGGAGCAGAGCCCAGAGGTCCAGCTGATTCCCTGTGCAGTGTCCTGGGACACGCTGCCTCCCTGGCACTGGCCACCCTCGAGGAGCAGGACAGCCCTTCCATCACAGGGAACTGGGCTGATGGGTTCGGAATGGTTTGTTCCCAAAGCGTGAAACTGGTTTTTGGGGATGCTGAAACAGCTGCTTCTAAGCTGCTGAAGCTGATGGAAAATCACACCTCAGGTAATCCCTTCAAGTTAATTTGGTCTTTGTTCCTGACCTGCAATTCAGGGATGAGCTGGCAATGATGCTCTTGGCACTGGGGTACCATCCCTGGCCAGCTCCATGAGCCATCCTGCCAGCAGAAAGCAGGAGGGACCAATTCATGGCCAATTCATGGCCATTTCGGTTTTGCCTAGAAAAATATGCTGGTTACTGAGCTGGTGACACTGAGGAATGAAGGGCTGAATTCTGCTTTTCCTGCTGGGAGTCAGAAATAGACCTGGAGAGATCATGACTCACCTGTAATTGAGAAAAACTGCGTGGCATCATTATGAGTTTCAACAGTTAAATCCTGATCCCAACCCGCCAGAGAGAAGAGAGTGACAAAGCTGCAAAGGGCCAAAAGGAGCTGGAAACAGGATCCACGGGAATCCTTCTCTCTGTGACTGCACTGTGTGTGTGAGGAGTGTGACACCTGCCCCACAGGCACCCCACGTGCTGTGGCAGTGGCACGGTCCCTGCAAGGGGAATGGGGCTGCAGTGGGGCTGTGCTGGGGCCAGGGGAAGCCCCCAGCCCCACAGCCCCGTGCCAGCAGGGCCAGCGTGCTCCTCCTCCCTGCGCCTTTCCCTGCAGCTCCGCTCCGGAGCAGGGATGATGTCAGGGTTGTCATGGCATCGGTATCTATGGAACCGGGATCAGCATCGCGGTGCTGTGAAAACCAACTCAGGACATGGTCCTGGAGCCGCGGGGGGAACTCCCTCCGAGCTAATCGAGGGTTTCCCTCTAAGGTTCTGCTTTTTCCTCCTTCCTGCTGTCCATGGGGAGGGAGCAGAGATGGGGCTTGGCCTCTGCCCGTCCCGTGGTAGCTCTGGGTGCCTCCTTCCATGTGTGAGGCAAGTGAGAGCTCAGCCCCAAACATTTTCACTTCCCTTTTCTTGCACCAGCTATGAATGTGCAACAGCAAAGAGCAGCTGCCAAACCTTGCTCTCTGCTCTTGGCCACTGGTCCTGGTGAGCAGCCAGAGCTCCTGTGCCAGGTCTGAGAGCCCTCCTAGCTGCAGGGCCTCTGAGCATCCCCAAAAGGTGACAGCCACTCTTTCTGGGGGTCTGGGTACAGAAGGGGTGTTTATCCTGGGCTCAGTGTCCACAGCAGAGGTGAGCTGAGCAGCGTGGTGACCTTGTGCTCCAGGCCATGGCATCGCCAACAGCCCAGCTGCTCACAGGGCCACAGCACAGGCAGCCTTTGCCATTGCCCAGTGACACTGGCATGGGATGGTGACCCTTGCAAGGACACCCCATCCCTGCCCATGACACGCTATCCCCACAAGCAGCACAGTGACCGTAGGACGGTAATTCTTGGAACAGCACAGTGACCCTGGCAATGGCAAGAGATCCTGGCTGTTCTGCGGTGTCCCCAGCCATGGCACAGTGACCATGGCCACAGCACAGTGGCACTGCCCATCCACAGTGCCCACAGCTGTGCTGAGGTGGCCATGCCCACATCCCGGTGACAGTGGCACTGTCACAGTGTCACAGTGTCCATGCCCAATCCCGGTGACAGTGGCACTGTCACAGTGTCACAGTGTCCATGCCCAATCCCGGTGTCCGAGGCTCAGCTCGGGCTCGCTGCGGGGGGAGCGCACCCCGCTCCGGCCGCGCGCACCTGCCCGTGCCCACCTCCCCAACAACCCCCCCTCCCCGGCGGGTGGTTCCGCCCGCCGTCCGCACGCGGCGCTGCGGACGAGCCCACGAGGGAGGGGCGCGGGGGGGGCGGGCGCGCGGCCGGCGCGGGGCGCGCGCGGCTGGGCTCGGCTGGGCGCGGAGCGGGCGCGGGGGAAGATGGAAGGAGCGTCCTTCGGAGCGGGCCGGGCGGGGGGGGCCATCGACCCCGTGGATTTCCTGAAGCAGCCGCAGACCCTCCTCCGGGTGACCACCTGGGTAAGGCGGAACGGCCGCGGGGCCGGGCAGCGGCGGTGCGGGGACAGCGCCCGGCGCGGCGGGCAGTACCCGGCGATGGGGAGTGCCGGGACCATGGGCAGTGCCCGGCGATGGGCAGTACCGGGGCCATGGGCAGTACCGGGGCCATGGGCAGTGCCGGGACCATGGGCAGTGCCGGGGCCATGGGCAGTGCCGGGACCATGGGCAGTGCTGGGGCCATGGGCAGTGCTGGGGCCATGGGCAGTACCGGGGCCATGGGCAGCTCAGGTGCATCGTGCCCGCAGGCGGTGCATCGTTCCCCGGTGCTCGGTGCACTGTCGGGCCGGCCCGGTGTTGGTGCGGTGCCGGTGCCGGTGTTGGTGCGGTGTTGGTGCCGGTGCCGGTGTTGGTGCGGTGTTGGTGCGGTGCCGGTGTTGGTGCGGTGCCGGTGCCGGTGTTGGTGCGGTGCCGGTGCCGGTGTTGGTGCTTTGCCGGCGCCGGTGCCGGTGCTGCGGGCGCTCCCCAGCCCTGCGGGCAGTGCCGGCTCCCGGGTGAGCTGTCAGGGAGTTTCCTCGGGAATGGGGCCGGCGGGATGCGCTCCTGCCCCTCTCCGCTGCGGTGCTGGAGGACGGGGCTCGGAGCAGGAGGCCGAGGACATTTTCCTGCCTTCCACGCTCCGTGCATGCGTGTGTGTGACAGAAATCCGGGAGCCGGCCCTGCCCAGCTCCCCCGTGCTGGTGAGAGGATGCCGTGTTTGTTGGACGTTTCCCATCTGTGAATTCCCACCACGGAGCGGGGAGCAGGAGGTGGAATGGGCTGTGTAGCGCGGTCTGTGCCCAGGGAGATGTGCCAGCCTGCCCCGATGCCCAGGGCTAAGGGCAGCCCCTATTTGCCTCCCCCAGCCTGGCTTTTTGCTGAGATCTGCAGGTGCACAAGGCCTTGAGAGGTCAGGAATGCCAGCTCCTTCCCAAAAACCCCCAGCGGGAAGGGTCTGCCTGGTTTTCACCTGGCTCCGGTGCTTGGCTGGAGGCCGTGGATGAGCCTGGGGCTCGTCCTCGCCCGTGTCACACCTGTGCTGGCTCTGTGTCACCTCTGGCTGAGCGAGGCAGGGAGCCAGGAGAGCTCCCTGCCCTCCTTGCAGCAGGCACAGCCGCTGTGCCCGGGGGTCTCTCCGGGCTGGGATGCCCTGGCCGAGGCCCCGAGCAGCACAACGTGCAGCACATGAGCAATTCCAGCTGCAGTCACATGCCCAGAGTTACACCACATGCTGCACTGTGTGGCTGGATGGGAGCTGCTGTCCTTCCCAGCGCTTGGAGAAGGCCCACAGCTCCATGGATGAGGAAAAACAGGGACCAGGGATGGATCTGGGGCATCCAGCTTGGTGTGGATGGGGCATTTTGGGCAGGGTTGAGGCGCAGGGTAGCAGTTGTTTCCTAGAAGAAAATTTGGTCTGGATCCTCCTGGATCCTCCTTGAGTGGGAATGGCAAAGTGCTGGCAGTGGGTTAGAATTTGGGTACAGTTAAATAACTCACAGTTGGTGAGTTGAGCCCCTCCTAAAATAAATGTGTCATGTGGCACCCAGAGGAATCCCCATCCTTGTTGAATGGAGGGGATTGGACACTGGTGGGAAGCAGGACCAGAGTATGGAATATAGGTACAAAATAAAAATCCCAGCTTAGAAAATATTCCTGGATTTATTCACTGGTTTATTCAGTGGCGAAGTCCCTCCTTTCATGGCTCTGAAATGAATTTCCCTGTGAAATTCACAGGGAATCAGTGACAAATGAGTGCTTACAGCTACAGAAATGCATCAGCTTCACTCCAAGTGCAAGGGCCACCAGTGTGGACAAACATGGGATGAGCATGGTGCTATCCCATAAATGTTTGCAACACTTGGGGTTGGCTCCAAAGCCCACTGAACAAAAAGGGAGTTTTTTGGTCTTTTCAGCGGGCTGGGGGTTGGGTGGGAGGTCTTTTCCCAGGTCTCACATTCACTGGTAGATCTGTCAGGGATCATCACCGCTCCAGCCTGGGGCTTCAGAGCCCCAGCTTGGTTGTCTCAGTCCAGTTTCCCGTGTCTTAAACCAGTTCAGCTTTTATGGTTCCTTCCCAGCGTGAGCTGGGACCGCAGTCAGTGCGGGGTGTGAGTGGATTACCTTCCCTCTGCCTTGTGCCTGGATTCCAGACCAAACCCAAGCCAGGGTGGAGAGGTTGGATGGGGGATGCAGCCAAGGGCTGAGGGCTCTGCTGCCTTCCCTGCTGCTGTCCTGGGTGAGTGTGGCAGTGCTGTGGCACGTGGTGACATCCGTGCCGGAACCGATGCCCACCGGGCCACTCCCCGATTCCCAAAGCAAACAGAACCATGCCAGGCTTCCCTGCCTGCAATCCCAGGGGAGATCAGCTGCCCTGGACAGCCAGGGCTGCTTGTTGAGCCAGCCCTGGGCTCAGGTCAGGCTTTGGGTTGGGTTTTCCTTGCTGTGCCTCGGTGGTTGTTAACCTGAGCGGCCGGAGATGCGACCCCTGCTCTGTGTGCGGTGTCAGCTTCCCTTCGGAAAAGGAAGAGCTGCTTGGGATGGGCTGGTTTGGGTGGGGGTGATGGAGAAATCCCACAGGGATTTGGGGCCAGCCCCAGGTGAGTGACTCGTGCTCATCTGGCTGATGGCCACTGCTGGGGCTTCTCACCACCGAAGGAAGGTCCAGTTCCCTTTGGTGACTCCAGTGGCTGCCTCGGGGACCTTGTGCTGGCAGACATGTGAGGGACTGACAGGTGAATGGTGACCAACACAGAAATCCCCAAATGTCAGCGGTGGCCAAAGGGGATTCCTGGTTCTGCCTTCCCCTGAGAGAGAAATTCTGAGTATCTGAGGGGAAAAAAACCCACTCCTGGCTTGAGCTGTAAAATCAAAAGCTGGAAAGAACCATTTAACAGTTCCTCATTCATCTCTTCCCTCTCTGTCTGATGCAGTTTGTCAGATGAAGATGTGATCGCTCTTGTGGTTTCCTTTTGAGACATTTTTTGCACAGGCAAACAGAGTCGATATTCATGACGGGTGCCTGCAGAATCATGAGTTCCTTTCTCTGTGACTGCCTGTGCCAGCCAGACTTTCAAGTGGCCACTCAGCTCCACAGGGCAATTGTTCATTTAACACAGGCTTAGGTTTGGCTTCTAAAAGCACTTTTGGAAAATATTCTGGTAAACTTTTTCAGCAATTACTGTGATTTCATGCAGAGCAGCAGCAGAAGTGCAGTGCTGGGTGCCATCAGTGCACCCTCATCCCATCCCATCCCAAGGATCCCATCCCATCCCAAGGATCCCATCCCATCCCATCATCTCTGTGCCTCCCTGGAGCTCAGCAGGAGAAATGCAGGGAATGAGCTCTGGATGGTTCTTCAGGGGTGTCACTGACTCCCGAGCACTCAGGGCTCTTAGGGAAGAGCTCCAAGGCTGCTCTGGCCCTCTGGGATCCTCCAGCAATGCTCAGAGCCATTAGCATGATCTGAGCTGCTTCGGACTTCGGGCCTGACCTCTTTTCAGAGGGGTCATCAGATTTCTGTCTTAATTTTCTCTTTCTGCAGGCTATGGATTAAAGGCAGAACTGAAAATTAACATTTTGGTAATGGAATTATAGGGAAGCTTTGCTGCATCTGAGCTTAAAAGTTGTCAAGCTCCTGTCATCTCTTGTTTCAAGCAGTGCTGGTGTGCCATGTGCTCAGATTGCAGGACAAGATTAGGAACCTTGAATGGGCGCTGTGTCCCAGCCAGCATCTCTTCCCACATCAGAAAAAGTAATTCAGGAAAAATCAGTCATGTGGTCATCAAGACACCTCCTCCCAAGCTGATTATCCTGGTGGACGTGGCCCTAAACACATTAGAGCCAGCATCAGACCACCTCTTTCTGTGCCAGAAACCACGCCAGGCCTTCCCTTCGTGGTCACCCAGTCCTGTGGGAGATCTGGCAGTGCTTAAAGCTGAGCTTTGGTCTTCTCATCCTCCAATAAACAATGCAGATCAGTGCTGGAAACTTCCCCTTGAGTGCCAGCTGTAAACTGGAGAGGAACCTGGGGCCTGATGGTCCCGCTGTGCCGAGGGTCCCTGAGCGGGGGATCTGCGCCAGGCCCGAGCGCAGCGCGGGGCTTAGCGGGGCTTAGGGAAACACTCGGTGCTAAGCAGGATTTGGCCTGTGCTAATTTGACCTGAATCATTTTCCCTTCTCGTTTGGTGGTCCATCCTTCCCTCGCTGGGCTCCAGGAAGGCAGGGAGGGATCACCCAGAGCTCGCTGCTGGCTCTCGTGGCCTGCGCTGTTGGTCAGGAGCCTCGGCGCAGGAAACGAGCTCTGGGTTATTTTTCCTCCTGCATTACCTTTCCTCCATGCTGACATTAATGGTTGCTTGTGTGTGTAACCAGAGCCGGGTTCTGCAGTCACCTGCAACCCCACACCTTCTGGTGATGTTTTTTATAGGTCCCAAATCCAAGTGCAGCGCCTCAGCAGTGGGAACATCTCACCTTAAAATGGCTGACAGCTCACACCGAAGCTCTCAGCTCGTGCTCTGCTGTGTTATTTGCTTTTTGTTTTCCTCGCCTGGCTCTGCTCAGGCTGCGAGGTCTCCTGAAGGATATTTTAGGGGATGGGCTGCAGAAAGCTGAAAGCAACGGGGAGGAAAAATGTGTGTGTGTGTCGGGGTTCAGCCTGCTGGGGCTTCAGGAGGGAACGGGGATCTGCAGAGTGTAATTCCAGAAGAAAGGCAGGCAGCCTGGCCAGCCAGCGTCCTCCAGATGGCAAAAATGAGAGAGAGAGAGAGGGCAGACACAGCTCCAGCTTTATCCACACCTGAAAGGTGTCTCCATCGTGGGCACATCAGGGTCCAAACCCTGGGCTGCTGCGAGGGCCTGATGGGTCCAGCAGAATCACAGAATCCTGGAATGGTTTGAGTTGGAAGGAGCCCTAAAACCCATCCAGTTCCAGCCCTTGCCATGGGCAGGGACACCTTCCACCATCCCAGAGCTCTCCAAGCCCTGTCCAGCCTGGCCTGGGATGATCCCAGGGCTCCAGGGGCAGCTACAGCTGCTCTG